CTGTTGATAGAGCAGCAGCCTCATTTCTGTTACCAATTAAAAAATTGTTATGGCACTTAACGGTTTTAAGTTTGTTTTTCTTTTTGAAACAGTTGGTTTTGAGGAAAGGTGATTGGCAAATTTGAATTTTTGCTGTTTCTTGTGAGGCGGGTCTCTTGTGGCTTGCATGTTTTCATAAGCATGCTTGTGCTTTATTTAGGATGAGAAAGTCAAGGTAATTGAAAGTAATGTAACTGGTTCTGGAGTTTCTTCAACAAAGGATCAAAGAAATTCCCATAATGATTAAGGGAATTTATGAATATTGTACTCTCAGAACTTCTTGCACTAGTTGTTTTATTTTCTACTAGTAAAAAATGCTTTGAAATACTGCTTCCTCCATGTTCCATTTTGGGATTGGGTAATTAGGGTGAGTACATTGAAGAAGAAAATGTAGAGCTGGAAGAATGAGGAGAGTCAAACCATTTCACAAGGAAAGCTTTAAAGACCTTGTAATTTGTAGTCTAGAGAACTAAAGGACACTTGGCTGTTCTTCAGATTGTGCAGTAAATTATTTACTGAGCACTTGGTAGGCACTGAAGATTCATACTTTGATTATGGGACAAGTAATCATTCAGTTTCAGATGTCTAATTATATAATTTTCCTTTCTTGTTCACAAGTACTGTTGATGAGACCTGGCCATTTCTACAATCCAGATAGATCTCTTAGGACTGTTATTTTAATATTCCTGTCAAAGTATTTTCATGAATCCTTGCTCTCCTAGCAAATACTAGAATTGCTTTTCTCTTTTTTTGTGGTACTCGGGTTTGAACTCACACTTGCGAGGTAGGTGCTCTACCCCCTGAGCCATTCCTGCAGCCCCTTTAGCTTTGGTTATTTTGAGATAGGTTCTTGCATTTATGCCCAGGCCAGTCTGAACTGTGGTTCTTCTATTTAAGCTTCCTGTGTAGCTAGATGACAAGACTGAATCACCACACCCAGCTTTTTATTGATTGAAATGGGGTCTTGCTGTTTGCCTAGGGTGGCCTCAAATTGCTGCCTTCCAGTTCTCTGCCTCCTAAGTAGTTAGGATTATAGGCATGAGCCACCACTCCCTACTTTATCATTTTTAACCAACATTAATAACCAGAGTCATCCCCAGGGTTAATACAGAGTGTTGGTTGGAAGCCACATTCTTATGCTTAAAATGTTGGATGTATTCGAAGATCAACAGTGAAGTTAGGTCACCCTTCTCACTGGTGGGTTGTTGGCTGGTAGCCATGTTAGTGATTAGACTTGGGTATTTATATCCCCATATCTACTCACTTTTGCCTTTTCAGTGTTGGATGAAATTAGACCACTTACCCAGAAAAAGCAGAGACAAAATATCTGCAATATCCCACTGGCTCCTTTTCTTGTTCTGAGATTAATTGTGGAGCTAGCCTTACTTCTGTTATTCCTGAAGGTTCAGCTGGGCATAGTTAGCCTGGGTCTATAATCTTCTTCAGCTCATATCAAATGCTCACACTGTGCAACAACAGTGGTTTATTTAAGCATGCTTTCTACTTTTTCTTTGTTACAATTACTTTTGATATCACATACTTCATCTTTGCCAGCTCTCTAGCTCAGAAACCATTTCCCCCATTTGTGCCTGCTTTATTGCATCTAGTGTAACTATGGCTGTATTTTTAACAATTCTTTGTTGCTATGGATTCTACAGATTTTCCTGAAGTAAAAATCTTAAGTAATAAGTATCTCTTTAGCAAAGTTATTTGCTTAGTAATAGTCTATCATGGCAATAGGCTCCTAGAGTATTGAGGAGATGTACGGGTAGAAACTATTGAATTCTTGTATCTAAATGTTATTGATATTTGATGGTTTTCACAATACTTAACTGATACTCCTCATTTCTCATTCCAGGGTAGAAGTGAGTTTGGTCCCAGGCTGTAGCTAAACTGCTAATTTGTTTGAAGTTTGAATTATTTTTAATGGGAAGAGGAAGTGATAGGAAACCAGATAATCTACACTTGTTTTATATTTGAGTATTAATAAGTGAAGTTTCACCAATTATATCATGAGCTTCTAGTCAGGTTCACATGTTTGGATAATGATCTCTTGCAAGGAAGCAAAATACAGGGTGGTTTGCAGCCTGTGTCTCTTTGACAGTGTGTTCAGGGTCTCTCAGCTTAAAGAACGCCCAGGCTAATAGCTCTCAATAGCTCTTTTATAAATTTTGAAGATACATGTAATTACATAAAGAGGAAATAAAGCTTGAATGTGTATTGGAACTGACAAAGGCTGGAGGTGTGTGGTTCAAGAGGTAGAGAGTATATCTTGCAAGCACAGGCCTTGAGTTCAAACCCCAGTACTGCCGATGGGGAGAAGGGGGGAAGAAACTGGCAAAATATTTTGCATAATATTTCTTCAGTTACATATAATATAATTATAAGTAGTGTTCATGGAATATTACTGCCATAGAGCAACTAATGATTTCTGTGTATCCCTTCTACCCTGCAGAGGTCTGCTTTCGTTTCAAATGTAGATAATGTGCTCTGGTCAGTTGTATAGTATAATTGTAAATCAGAAATTTTGATGACTAAAACAATACTCATTTTTGAGGGGAAAGAAAAATATTGATACCTTGTCTAGCATTGTTCATACAATCATATTCATCTTTTTGGGAAACAATGTTAGTCTTAAATAATTTTAAGTATTTTTGGTCAAACTGGTCATTGATCTGCAGACCAGCAACTAATAACTGTGGGCTATTAGTAATGTCACTTAGGAGATAATTGTGAACTAATACTCCAGAATGATTCCAAGAGTAAAAATGTGCTTCTATTTCTTGATACATTGACTAGCTTAAAACAGTTTTACTTTGATTAAAACTTAGAGTTCTAAAGCTAAGTGTCTAAAAGCAGTAAATGACTGCTGTTTGTTCACTTTGCTTTGGAAAACAGTGTTAGCCATGTGAGGTGACCGCTCTGTGGGGTTGGAGTGATGGGTTTTTCCTGCATTGACTTATTAGTGCACATCATGGAAGATGTGAACATGTTGACATGCAAAAGAATGGATTGTATCTCCATATCAATTTTATTGTACGATGCTTTTACTAAATATTTAAGTTTCTTTGGCTATCATGTTTACGTATTCTGGAGAAGAAATTTCTCACATGGATTGATGACTAGGTAGCCCCTAACACTACTAAGAGAAACAGAAAATGTAATTAGGCATCTTTGCTCATGGTTTGTTAAACTGTAAGCTTGATGGTGCTTTACCACTGCCCAAAGAAAATGCCCTTAAGTAGCCCAACCTTATTTCTTAGAGCTTACTTATTATTTTGCTTTTGTATATTTAATAAAAACTGTCTCAAATATTTCCTTGTGTGATTTATGGATAATGGTTCAATCATGTATTAATTTCAAATGCAGCTAACTGGCTTGTGTATAACCAGGATTGTCTTTCTGCCTCCTCCAGCCCCAATGTTTTTGGAAGATACCACACAGGTTAGGCAGAGAAAGTTCTTTTCCCAGAGTGTTGGAATCACATGTTACTAAGTTTAACTGGACAGGTATATTTCAGGGATAACACCTTGAGTTTCTCTGTTGTGGGTAATTGATGTTTTCCGTTATACTTGGTATTAAAATAGTTTAAACAAGCATTTTGGATGTGGATGGTTAGTGAGCACTTACACTGGAAGTTGAGAGATGCATGAACTTTGAAAATTCAGTTTATTAAAGGATTTGATTAAATCATGCCAATTTTTTTCCCTTCATTTTCCTAAATATTTATGAATAAGCTGTACATTTATAGTGGGAGAAAGCAAATGTAAGATTTGCTAATGTCAGTTTCATTGACTTGTCTAGTTTATTGGTTATTGTAATTTTAAGTTGTATTTGCTTTAAATACAACTTCATGATACAAAAATCATGAAGGCTAATCAATTATTGTAGACTACTATAAAACAATAACTTTCTAGCCATAATTTTTGGCACTTACTGAGATTAAAAAAAAATTACCTAGGTTAAATATGGGGGTGGGTTATGCGATTCTTCCATCTTCCTTATTATTTTTATAAAATCTTTAGTTCTAGAAGCAGTGCATATGTAAACATTAAAATACTGATATTATATTACAGAACAGACTGGTACTTTGGTCTGACGTTCCCAAATAGCACTAGTAATTTAATTTTAGAGTATTCCCTAATGAAATTCACGTGCTTCCTCAGAAGAGTATGAGGCAGAGGACGCCCAGTCATCACATGATTATCTAAGAACTAATTTTTGATGTGGTGAAATGCCTTTTTGTGGAAGTGCCTATGACTCTGCAGACGATGGTAATCGTCAAGTGACCACTGGTACACCTCGTGATTACCAGTAGCCAACAAAGCCATGAGACCACTGTAGTTAAAATGGGCACTCCTTGTTTACAGCCCAAATCACTGTGTTGGGTAACTCAAAGCTGAATGTAAAGACAGGAAGTTTTATTAATATAGGGGGAGATGAAGGAGTGGGAGAATTGGAAATTGTTAATCTGCAGCTAAGTACTTTTTAAGAAACTGGGAGATTAAATTTATTTTGTGTAGTATTTGGGTGAAAAAAAAACGCTGTAAAAACGGAGCAGCTGTTTGAACCAATGAATTCCTCATCTGAAAAAGTCCCAGCTTTTCAGCTCCGTAGTAGGAGGAGGTGACCAGAAGACTCATGGGATCTCTTTCAAAGCTGTAAGTCTACGAAGTATGGAAAAAACAAAAAAGAGAAGGATTTCATGAGGAATAGAGGGTGAATGTTGTTAAAAAGTAAGCAGGGGTACTCGTACAAAAACTTCATACTTATTACTATGTTGTATGCTAACAAGTAAGATGAGGCAAAAGTGCAGTAAATGCAAACATGCAAGTGTTTTTCCATCTTCTCTCAGCATGACCTCTAAGGGAGATAGACCAGAGCAGCAAGTGCATTTCTAAAAGGAAAACTGTTCCATTTTTTTCTATCCCTCCACTAGGAGATGAAAGAGACACAATGACTTTTGTCAATAAAAGCTTTAGGAATATCTGCACATACACATTTACATTCAAGGAGATAACATTAGCCTTGTTTCAATACAGATTATACCGGAGAACTTCCCAATTTCATGGTCACATATTGCTATTTGAAATCCTTTATCTTGACACAGATCTTGACAGTGAATCTCTTGATGATAGATAGGAAGCTAGTTTGTCTCGGAACTCATGAAGATAATTATATTGCTGGAAAACAGTGAAGAGATATTGAAATACATTGTAGAAAACTAGTCACCAGAGTAGGCTTGATACTAACAGGAATTGGAAATAATAATAATAAAAAGTTGCTAGCAACAGTTCTACATCTTGGGTAAAATGTGTTTGCAACCTGAGGAAGTTTTGTCTTGAAATGAAGCTGGAGGCAGGAAGAGGGGGATGAGGGAGAAAGATGGAGAGGGTGAAACAAATTAAGATACGTTGTAAGCACAGGTAAATTTCACAATGTATCCCTACCCCCCCCCCAACTATTACATGCTAATAATATTTTTTAAAGAACAGATTTTATTTGTAAAAAAAATAAAGCTGCATACCATGTGAAAAACTATTGCTTTAGAAAATTCAAACTCTGAAGGTAGCATGAAATTCAGATGAATGTTTTATAAGTCTGTAGATCTCTCTCCCTTTACTGGGAGGACTAAATAAGATTAAAAGTAAATCTAATGCCTTGTAAGTAAATAAGGGCATTTAAAAAATAGTGTGGTTTTTTCCACCTATTGAGTAAGTAGGGAGAGAGCCCAGAAAGGAAGGCAAGTTAGCTTTATAGTTCTACAATCAAGTGAAATCTGCAGAATCTTTTTGGTAACAGAATACTCTTGGCATTGCTATTGTTAGTTTTGAAGTGTGTGGGGAAGGAAAATGTGAAGATGTCACTTCAGTTATCCACAGTAAAAGGCAATTAGCACTGCTTTTTTATGTTTTGTACCATCAATTTAATGATTTTGTTCAATGATTCAGTGATTTAGTAGGATTTTCTTTAGGCCTTTTAAAAATTAGTGAATTTTCATTGTACGAAGGGGTTTCATTGTGATGTTTCCATACACACAAATAATGTACTTTAATCAAATTCATCCCCACCATTACTCTTAATTCCTCTTGACATCTTTTTGGTCAGAAATGTACCAAAAACAAAACAAAAAAACTACCAAGTTTATAGTAAGCATCCCATTCCAAGGGAAAGGATCCATTCCTAGAACGGATTCGGACAAAAACTGAGCAGGAGTAGATCCTGAAAGAGTAAAGTAGAAAGTTGAAAGTTTTCCATTATTTTGTTTAAAATGCTGTGGGCATTTGCAGATGCCTGGGTTCTATTTAAATGTGTATTAAAAATAACACATGAGTGTATTTGAATAGTAGCGTTTTCATCTTGGTACCCGGCCCTCCTCCCTTGTTCTGTATGTTATGCAGTGGCTAACCACAAGCAAACAGGAACCTTCAAGCTCCTTACTTTTATGGTCTGTATGGCCCCAGATCCTCTCACATCTCGCAGGCTGTCTATGGCTTGCTGTGGTGATACTGTGTCCGAAAGGTATAGGAGGAGACAAGCGGCTACTAAGAGAACATGAAAGAAAAATAATGTATTATTCAAAACTGGCAGCTGGTAGCATGGCTCAGGTGGTAGAGCACCTGCCTGCCAAGCACAAGGTCCTGAGTTCAAACTCCAGTATCACCAAAAAAACAAGACAAAACAAAAAATTGGTGATCAGGTAAAACATTTGATGTTAGTTGAAAAGACTCAGTCTGGTGTAATTGTTCCAAATGAATTAGAAGATTGGGATCTTTTCAGCTGTGCTCTGATAGTTAAGTTATGCTTTTAACTGGCTGAATTAAAGTTTAACATGGTTCATTCTAGCTGCTTATTGAGAAAGAAAGAATTTGCATACTATGCAGTTCACCCATTTAAAATGTGCACTCCAGTGCATTTTAGTATGTTCACAGACATGTACAGCCATTACCACAGTGAATTTTGGAACATTTTCATCGCCTCAAAAAGGATCCCCAGCTGGGAATGGTGATACACATCTGTAGTCCCAGCACTTGGAAGGCTGAGGCAGGAGGAGTGTGAGTCTGAGGACAGCCCTTGTTACATAATAAGACCCTTGTCTCAAAAAAAGAAAAAAAGAAGTTCTGTACTCTTTTTTACTGTTATCTTTCCCTACTACCCCATTAGCCTCTTCACTAAGCAACCACTATTCTAATTTTTTTTGTCTCTATAGATATACCTATTCTGGGTATTTCACATAAATTGAATCACTCAATATTTGGTGACTGACTTTTTTCACTTGTATGTTCAATATTCATACATACTGTAACATATCCATCTCTTTTGTGACTGAATAATAATCCACTGTTTGGCTATACCGCATTGTGTTTGTCCACTCATCAGCTGATAGACACTTAGGTGTTTACATTTTTTGCTTAATACAGTTAGTTAATTCTGCAGTAAATGTTTGAGACAGGATCTCACCACGTAGCCCAGGCTTGCCTTGAAATCACGATAACTCCTGCTTCTGCCTTCCAAGTGCTGAGATTAAAAATGTGTGCCATCATGCTGGCTGTTTACAACTTTTTGTGTGAATGTGTGTCATTTCTTTGGTGTATATTTCCAAGGGTAGAGTTTCTGACATATGGTAACTTCATGTTTCACCATCTGAGGAAGAAAGTGATTTTCCAAAGTAGTTGTACCATTTTATATTCCCACCAGCAGTGTATGAAGTTCTAGTTTTGCTGCATCTTCACTGATAATTTTTCAACTTTTTTTTTTTTCAGTCCTACCCATCCTAACAGGTATGAGGCAATGTCCACTGTGAATTTGTGATCTCATTTCCCTGGTGGCTAATACTTATGTGGGGATTTTTGTCATGTAATTACTGGCCATTTGTATATTTTGTGTGGAGAAATATTAACGCAGTCCCTTTACTCAGTTTTAAAAATTCAGATGTCTTTTTTTTTATTCTATTTTTTTGTCCTTTTTGTTTGTCTTTTTATATTGAGTTGTAAGGGTACTTTATTTATTCTAGGTACAAGTCCTTTATCAAATACATGGTTTGAAAATATTTTTTTCCTATTCTTTTCATTTTGCCTTTGAGACACAAAAGTTAAGTTTGATCTTGGTCAACACTGAAAGGAGTGACTGTTACTGTAGTGAGGCATTTCATGAACATTTTTTTGGTGGTACTGGGACTTTAACTTAGGTCTTAACACTTGCTGGCAGGCACTCTACTACTTGAACCATTCCCCTGCCCTCTCCCCATGAGTTTTTCATAGCACATTTTAAATTTACCATACAGTAAGTACTTAACTTTAGGTTTTTTTTAATTCTTAAGATATGCGTTACTTAGAAGCTACTGTACAATAACCTCCACAGGGAGAACATTAGAAAAATTAAGAATGTAGGTGCTGAAACTTGTAAATAATGTTTTGTGGAATCCTCTAAACAAAACTGAAAATACCTCCCAGTCCCACTTAGGCTTTCTATTGAACACCAAGTTCAGGACCTTAATACTTTTGAGTTGTGGCAAACTTTTATTGTGTTTTGCCTCATTTTAATATGAGGTGAGCATATAGCCCAAAAACAAGTGTTTGCCTACTTTGAAGTTAAAAACCAGTAAGTAAAAAATACTTCTTACCAAGACAAGATCTCCCAAGTCCTCCATAACAGCTGAAAGGGAAACACAGTTTTGAAGTTTGTGCATTTTCATTCCATCACAAGTCACAAGTAGAGACTTGTTCTTTCTGCCTACTATTTATTACTGTACGTCCAGCACAGGGCCTTGACCACAGAGGTTCATATTGTTCACTTAGTCACCCAAAAGCAAAATGTACTTATTTGTTGGTAGGCATGCTGAATCCCTAAGGCAAGATAGGCAAGGTCTTCTTATTGACCTTTTTAAACTCCAAGATCCACATCTGAGGAATGGGGCATGTTGTTAAACAGATAGGAATCAGACAATATTTACTAACTGCCCACTTAATTTTCCTCTAACCTGAATGGTTATGGGACAAATGCATCCTCACGATAACCCTCCGTTATCTCAGAGCGTAGGAAGGTGGCAGATCACAGAGGTTTACAGCAAGTGCTTAGCTCATAGATCTGTCCTTTGTGAAATGCATGAAGCTAACTAAGCACATTAGTGAGGCTTGCTAGGCCTTGCCTTTTCACCTATAAAATGGTGATGGCAATAGTACCTACATCAGAGTAGGTCAAATGAAGCAACATTGTATAGGGCTTAGAACAGAGCGTGTGGCACAGAGTAAGAAATAGATAAATGGGAGCTGCTATTATCTAGCAATGTAAAGAAATGAGCACTTCTGCAAAACTGTATTTTCCAGAAAAATGAAGATAAACCCTCAAAGCTGCAAAACCACTTGTTTTAATCATTTTCAAGAATCCTATAACTTGCTTAGAGGGACTACTGAACCTACTTTAGAACTGATGACTCATCATCATGACCATTCATGACTTTAGATAAAGCTGAAGATACATATTTTACTATAGGATGTGAGACAGAGGGCCACATAGGTGCTGACTTCCCAGAATTACTCAGGTGTAAGCTTGTTTCAAAGAGATCAGGATATATCATACAAACACAGAGAAAGGTAGATTGCGTGGGTTTCTGCAAGATTAATATTACTTTATACCTTATGCTATTTTTACCTTCTGTTTGATGAATTCCTACTCATCTTCCAAAATCCATTTCAAATTTGTGTCCCTGTTAGAACCATCACTGTCCTGTGGTGTTTTCTTTTTTGTGGGGAATGTGTTTTGGTTTTATTGGCAGTACTGGGGGGTTGAACTCAGGACCTCACGTTTGCTAGGCAGGTTCTCTACTACTTGAGCCATGCCTCCAGCCCTGTCCTGCAGTCTTTATTGCACTTCCAGGTGGTGTCATCTGTGGGTCTGTTGAAGGTGGGGACTGTGGCCTCATTTTGTAGTCTCAGTGTTTGATACACAGTAGGTGCTATAGGTTGAATTACGTCCTTTATAAAGTCATGCTAAAGGCTGGAGGCATGACCCAAGTTGCAGAATACTTTCCTAGCAAGCGTGAGGCTCTGAGTTCAAACGTCAGTACCTATGAATATGAAATTATACAGAAATATTCTTGGACTGGAGGCATGGCTCAAGTGGTCTGCTTTGCAAGTGCAAAGGCATGAGTTCAAAGACCAGTCCCACCAAAATAAATAAATAAATAAATAAGACTGTAAAAAAGGAATAGCTTTTGCAAATGTAATCAAATAAAGTCATGAGTGTACATCCTAACCAAATGTAACTTGTGTCCTTATGAGAGGAAAACACCATGTGAAGATACAAACATGCAGGATGAAGCCTGTGATGACAAAGGCAGATTGGAGTGATGCAGCTATAAGCCAAGCAACAATGAGGACTGATGCTTTTTCCTAAAAGCTAGGAAGAGGCAAGGAAGGATTCTACCCAGTGACTCAGAGACAATATGGCTCCGCTAATACCTTGATTTTGAACTTCCAGCCTCCAGAACTGGAAGAGAATAAGTTTCTGTTTTATAGGCCATCCAGTTTGTGGTACTGTTTTATAAGAATTTCACTTACATGAAACAATGTAATATGGTTGGCAAACATATAATCCGATGATTATAAAACAGCTGATTTTATAAAGCACTGAAAATGCCTAGGCAAAAGCACTGAGCTAGCACTGGCCAAAAACAGGACAGTGGAAAAACTTTGTCAGACCCTGATTTTGCCATGGCATCTAGCAATGTGGGCACCCAAAGACAGCAGAATAGACAGAAATGATCTTTATCCAGAAAAGTAGTCACTGTAGGATAAAAGGCTTACTCTGTATTGGACACTGCTAGTACTTCTCATGCATATGGGAACTTTTAATTCTGATGTCAAAAATAGGAGGTGAGTAATAACTGAGAAATTCAAGAAAACATGTTGGGTGGGACGTTTCTTATATAGCTATATGGAGAAAAGGAGAACGTACTGTATTAAGGTTTTCCGGTTATTCTTCAGACAGATTGCAAGCTCCTCCATTATTTCACAGCAGCTGGCTATGTCAGGAGTCCCTCCATCTGGGATCGGATGATGATGAGTGCTAATTCCACACTGCTGGTAGAGGTCCAAAAGGTTTGGGACTCTGTATTTTGACAGCTCCCCTCTGGTGCAGAAAACAAATATGTCTTGTATACCATAGCTCTTTAGTTCTTCTGTCAACAGACCAAGATACACACAGACACACATACAAAACATTACAAATTTCATATGGAGTGACATTTATTAAGCCAAACTAATAACAAGTGATAATTTATAAATTAGAAATGCCTATTGATAACACCTGATCCAAAAGCTAGGTAGAATTAAACCTGGTTGATTTGGAAGTTGAATGCTTTTTATTGAATTTCAAGATGAGTTAATGATATTGCTGTTCTTGAAAAAAATGGCAATAAATACTTCTTTAAAATAAAGTTAAAAACTAAAACTTAAGCTCTTAACAATGAATGACAGCATTTCTTTAAAAATTTCTCACAAAATCAGTCATGTTTGCACAGCCTTGGCATGGGAAACCATTTTGCTATTTTTCCCATCTAGATGTAGCTTTCTAATTTTTCTGTGATGATTTTCAGTGATGTGTATAGGTCAGAGCAGAGGCAACACATTACTTCTCCATATCAAATGCCTCACTTCTTTCTCTTTTACATACATTGGTGAGGAACTTGGGTGTTTTCATCACTTTTAGTCATATCACAGTGCTGAGAGATGTTAATGATCAAAACAAAAAGGTACAACAAAGTGTGCATTGAATATGAGATTAAATGGATTCTTAACTTCCTGTCAGTTCCTCAGTCCTTCCCACAAAGTGTACATGGAAGTGTACATGATGGACATTTCACTGCTGCCTCTGGGTTCCCACCTCAGGCTTAAATTCTACTACCACAGCTAAGTCTGTATAGGACAGGATGTTCAAAGATCTGGGCAGTGCAGTATGTCAGAGTTCTAACTAATACTTTTCTCCCTAGCTTATACAGTCCAGCTTTAAATGCAGTTTATATGTCTACCTACAATAGTCAGTGAAAAGCAAACCCATGTTTAGATAAATGGTGAGTTCTTGGCTCTTCACAAATATCCTTCACACATTAGAATAAGTTTGTAGTTTGAAGTGTCACAAAATATTGAATACTTTTGTGTATAGAGAAGAGATTCCAGTTCATTTCTTTAGACAAAAATATTTTCAGTTTAAACTATTACTATGGTTGTGTCGTATTACACTTACCTGTGTCTTTTTGAATATTTCTTCTAACATCTTTAAATTTACAACCTACAAGTAGCAATAAGACAAGTAAAACAGTCAGTTTGGGTCATATATAACAGCATATTTAGACAAACATGAGCTACTTTAGAAAGCCATTCTACATATCATACATGCTTCAATTCCATTTTAAATAAGAATTTTAACTCCTTAGATTCTTAGGAACATAATTGCAGGGATTCATAGATTCTAGTTGAAGGAGCTCCTAATCCAGAATTCTTTTTTCTGTGGGTTTCTATAACAAGTTTCTGGCTGTAGTCGTCAGCCTCATTTGTTCCCCAAGGTTTACATTTTGTTAGAGATATGTAAATCAGAAATGTAGAGCTCTGAATGCAGATCTGGAAGGTTGAAGAATGGATCTGTGGTCCTTTATTTAGAACCCACCACAAAGGCTTCCAAAAAGTCACTTTCCCAGTACTGGTCTGTGAAGTTCTCTTATTGCTCAGTACACAGAATGATGTGTTAGCTGACAAAAAACACCATCCTAAATACATGGACAGGGAGCCAATTATAGTGCCACTGACCTGGAAGAGCACATAAACCTAGAAACTGAGAGCAGTTCACTCGTGACAGAGGGAGCCTGAAAGGAAATGTTTATCAAGTTTAGTTCAGTAAAAAGACAGAGAGGTAATTCAACTTTAACATCCTGAGTGTCTGCCATTGAAAAGGGGTGTTTTAGAGTTCTACAGAAGTCACAAAACAAAAATTCATAGTTAATTATCAAAAGGTAGGGCTCGAAAAGGCCTGGAAAGACTGAAAGTTTTAAAACAGGGACTTATTTACTTGGTTACAATTTAAGTCTTAAACTAGGAAGTTAATTGAAATTCACCTTGGGAAAGCTCATCATGCCTGCAGCAGACAGTACGCAGTGCATTCAAAGTTACCCTGTGCTGTGATCACTGAGATAGGCTGTATCACAACATAACACTTATCTGAAATCTCGGATATATCTGACATTTCAGAGTTTTTAGATTTTGGAATATTTGCATCAATCTTACCAGTTGAGCATCCCTGATCTGAATATCCCAGATCCCAAATGCTCTAAAATCTAAAACCTTTTTAGTGTTAACATGATGATCAAATCTTTTGGATTTTGGAGCATTTCAGATTTTGGATTAGTGATGTTCAACCTGTAGTAACCTTATGTCAATGAGCTGAAAAATGACCACCTGACAGTTCCAGCTTTAACATTCATTTTTACATTGTTATTTTAAGATTTTTTTTGGTAGGACTACCTTAACGGATATCCATTTTGTATAATGAGAAACACAGGTTACCCATTCCCTATTGTAATGGATCTTGATTAAAATGAAATAATTTCAAGAAATCAAATTCCCACTTTGCAGTACTCAGGGACAGAGGCCAACCTTGTCTGCAACCCAAGAGATGAATTTAGAGGAAAACCATAGATGACTTTTTGAGTTTCAAAGGGGCTTAAAGGGGAAAATGAAAGATAGTGCTATTTGATGGCAGGACAAAGAACTATAGAGACAATGATACTTGGTACTCCTTTCTTTTCTTGCAGTAGGAATAGTGCTTCACTGAGGAGAGAGATTATTTGATTGCTGGTTGTAGAGCATATAATATAACCACAAGTAATTTTCCAAGCTTTAGAAGTTGGATTTATGTAGAAACTCATTTTGGCTTTTATTTTAAGCAGAGTCAGATGATAGTACATTACTGTGATATGTAATTTTAGGTATTATCTAGGGTTTAATTTAATGATGAATGATTAAATATCTCATCCTCTTGCTATACTATTTCTTTTGTCTTAACAGAATAAGTAGATTTTGGTGGGAGATTGTTTCAAAAACCCACCTCTATTCCTTACTTACTTGCTTCTACTAAGGTTTTCTCAATGTCTAAAGGAAAAACAAACAAACAAAAGGCCTCGTTCTGTATCATAGAGAGTAAATAAATCATGGAATTAGAAGATCCCTTAAAGACTAGAATTATGTAATCATAAGAATATCACTTAGAATTTTCAATTGTGTGCACTACATTGAACAAATATCATGCCTATTATTTTAGCTCCTTCATTGGTCAGAAATGATAACATACCAGGAGATCTGAATTGGAGTCTGCTCATCTTCAATAGGCTCTTCGTCTGAGGAGTCAAATTCACTGGCTTGTATTGAAACAGGCTTGAAAAGAAATATGTTACATTAAATAACTGTGAAGAATATTTACATATAGTTTTTAGCATAGTTGATTCTTAAACACTTACTGAATTCATATTTACTAGGCATCAGTTTGGACTGCCAGAGAGCAGCAATGTCAGTAATAAATGATTACTATTCACCATGCTATTAATAATCACAGCACTGCACAGTGGAAAGAGTTGGACTGCGAACCAAGAAATCTTGGCTTTGGGTTAGCTTCAACAAACCACTTCGGTCTATCCTGGATCTTGGTTTTCCTCAAGCTCTAAAGAGAAGGAATTTGTTCATTCATTCACAAGCATTTCTTGGATGCTTTCATTTGCCAACCTCTAGAGATGCAAAGATCTGAAAAATATATAGCCTGCCTTCAGTGTAGTTGAAGAGTCAAACAGGTTTAAATGGTGAACTGGAAGCAGAAACTACATGCTGTAGAGTCGAGAAGGGAAAGACTAACATGTAGGGAGCTGCAGAAGGTTTCACAGAGGTATTTAAGCTGGGTTTCAAAGGAAGAGCAGGAGGTTTCTAGGTAGATGGGGAAGAAATCAATGAAGGCAAAAAGAAAAAGAGCTGTGCATTCAGGAAGTGATAGCAAAGTAGATATGAATCAGAAGAGATGAGGCTAGCAAAGTAGTTTTATTCAACATCATTTCTCAAAAACAACCCCTGAACAGCCTAGAAGTTTGGTGGGGTGGGGTGGGGAGGAAAAGCGAGCAGGTGAACAAGCCACCTCCCAACTTTATGAATAACTGGACTAGAAAGATTGAGATGGTCCTTGTTTGCTGGTCTAAGCAATTGGAACTCAAATTCTTGAGGCAGCATTTCTACATGGAAGATATCTATACTCCCTGTTGGACTTTTAAAGGACCAGTCCAAAAACATGCCTTTTTCCCACGCTCTAGTTGAAACCAAGAAACAAGACATTGGAAGGGCAAATGGAGATCAAAATGTTAGCTTTTTTGTCAAATGCAGGGTGTAGCCTAAAGCCATAGTCAAGTGAGCTTGTCACTTTTTCATGCTCAAATTAGACAGACTGACTTGCCCAGTCACAGGCAGTGATGGACAACCCCAGGTTCCTGTATGACTAGAAAGCACCTTCTGGAGTCCAGCAGGTAGATCCCAAAAGAGAACGATCAAAAAAGTTGAGCTACTTGTGTTCAGTTTCTCCCAAACTCTAGGAACCATAACTCACTCTATCCTTCCAGGGACAAATGTTGGAGGCCAAAGGTGAAGGACAGCTGATGCCTCCCACATGGAAGAGGGATTAGCAAGTGTAATCACCAAATGCCTTATCTAGCTCCGAAGCCATATTCTGTAATGGTCCTGTTTGTTACTAGGTCACATGACAGAGCCAATTTAAACTATGGATTTGAGTTGCTTTGGATCTATAGTATTAGAATCAACGGAACCCAGAAGAAGGCCCTTTGATAGGGTATCAATCCTGGTGGTAGGAATGAGTCAGGTGGGGTTTCAACTTTTTGACAGCATCTGTTTTTTCTTTTTTCTACTTCCCTTTTTTTTGTTTTTCCGGTACTGGGGGTTGAACTCAGGGCCTCATGCTTGCTGGACAGGGGCTCTATCACTGGAATCATGTCCCCTTTTTTGCCTAGGTTTTTGGGCTGGACCTCAATCCTATTTACACTATTTGGCAGCTGGATGACAGTTGCACACCATCACGCCAGCTATTGGTTGAGATGAGGTCTCTGCTAACCCTTGTTGGTGGGTGGGGGGCGGGGGACGGGGCGAGGGCTGTCCTTGAACTGTGATCCTCCTGATATCTGCCTCAGGAGTAGCTGAGATTACAGACGTGAGCCACTCACCCGACTCTTTTCCTTTAAAATAATTCTGATGAAATGAAGATTTCAAATTTGTGTGGCCCATTCACCTTGCCACTCCCAGCCCAGTGCTTCCAAACCTTGGGGAGAAGGCCGTAGAGCGGGGAGGCCCTGGCAGTTGTGATGTCGCCCCCAATCCGGGGCATGCATGCGCAGAGCTGCTTCGGACACCCTTCGGGGCGGGGGTGTCATGCCAACTGATCCGCTGAGACACTTCGGGCCTCTCCGCATCAGTGTCCTCTTCGGCAGGGGTGTCAAGGGCTTTCGAGATCCCGCAGGCGACAGGTGCCAGCCCACAGCAGGCTTCCCCTCGTCCCCCTCTAACCCTGCTTCGCTGGCTCTCGCTCCTACAGCGGTCACCCTCATCCGTGCAGGGAAGCGCCACCTCCCCGACCCACAGGACGGTTACTGCGCGAGTCATGCCGCGGCCAGGCTCAGGCTGCCCTCCTGGCCCAAGAGCTGGCTTTCGGGACCACTCTTATCCTGCGGCATTGCTCCTCCAATCCCCGGCCCGCCCAACTCACCGGCTTCATCTCTGGCCGCAGCACACCGTCGCCAGTGCAGCCCCCCGTGGCTGCGTCGGGTGGCTGCACCTAGGTCCCAGCCGCTTTAGCGAGCCCGCCCCTCTACTCAACTCATTGGCAAAGCCTTCTTTGGAAGGTGGGACGAAGCTTCCTCTAGAAACCAATCAGATACTCTTCCTATTTCTTACTCCGCCTCTGTGTGTCCCGGGCGCAATCTCTAAACTCTGATTGGTTCCTAGGAGGCCTTTGAAAGACGCGCGGAAGGAGGGCCTTACGGAACCTTGATTGGCTGGAGTGCGTCCTCCTTCCACCAGTTGGGAACATGGAAGGTGCAGGAGGCGGGGAGAGGGGCGGGGCAAAGCGTCTCCCTTGAGAGAGATGTTTTGGGGATGCTGCACAGCTGATTTGTAATGGCAGGAGGTTTGAGTGGTACCAGGGTAGGGAGATTTTGCTTGCTTTGTTAAAGCTTTTTTTTTTTTTTTAATGTACGTTGTTAGTGGGGAGTACTTTAGTGGAGATTTCGTATAAAAACATCATATAGACTTTGTAATTGCAGTCATATCTAGTCACATAAATAACATCAAGGCCCGAATCCAAAGTATAAACATATTTATATGCTTGACATTTTATGTTCTTTACTATTCTAGGATCTACACAGGTTAGGATGTAAATCAGCCTTCCTGGTCACCAAATTTGCATGAAGCAATATCCTCTGAAAGGCAGACAAAGTGATACCACATGAGTCTATAGTGCCGCGTTTCTACACAATCAGTTACAATCTTTTAAAAATGTGTTTGATTATTCCCTCCTCCATTCCCCAGTCCCCATTTAGTTGGTCATGGGAAAGGAAATCACCTGGAGTAACATTACCTACAGATCTGAGAAAAAATAAAAAAATCCAGAAGTTTTAACTCCCTGACTCATGTCTGAAAACTGGTGGGTAGAAAGTCACTGGAAAGGATTCCTTAGTAAAGAAGATAGCACAGTTTGACTTAGGACCTGCATTACTCAGGGTTTTCCAGAGAAACAGAACAAATAGGATGTGTACATATGCATACAGAAAGATTTATTTTAAGGAATTGGTTCATGTGATTGTGGAGGCTTGGTGAGCCTAAATCTGATAGGAGAGGCAAGTGGATTGAGATTCAGGAGATGGTTGTAGTTTGAGTTCAAAGGCAGTCTGTTATAGGACCAGAAAGAGCCCAATGAATTCTGAAGACTGTCTGCCAAAGAAATCCCCTTTGACAGGGGAGATCAGCCTTTTGTTCTATTCAGGCCTTCAACTGATAGGATGCAACTCACCCATATTATGGAAGACAATCTGCTTCACCCAAAGTCCACCAATTTAAATGTAAATCTCATCCAAAAACACCCTCATAGAAACATCAAGAATAGTGTTCACCAAAATATCTATAGTCAGTGAATCCTTTTAGACCTGTACTGTCCAATTTGGATACCAGATTGCCAGATTATCTCCAAAATAGAAGACTAAAGTAGAACAGAAACCAGGAATCACTGCTCTACAATTATTGTTTTCTAATATACATCTGCTTCCTTAGATGACACTGAAGTAGAGCTGGGGAACTGATCACCACCCACCACAAATTTGACTGTTGTTTGGATGTGTTAGTTTGCAGTTCATGTCAGTAGCCATGGTACATATACAGAAGACTTCAGGTGGGTATACATCTAGACCTACAATGTTGTTTTAGCGCATAGAATCAACAAATATTTAAGGTGCACCTACTTTCTGTTGTATGACTAGGGTCATGGGCTCTTTAGGTACAATGGCTATGCATAGTTTTAAATACATTTGCATATGTATTTGAAAGCAAACTTGGCTGGTAAAAATAGATAAAGGGTGACTATTAGTGTTTGGGACCCCCATAGTTTTTCTTTGAATGCACTCTCTCAGAAGTTAAAGTCAGGTAGACTGGGCAGGTGTGTTGGAGAAGAGAGAATGATGGAAGTATCTGCCATGTTTTGCTCCAAGGCCACTAAGAGGTGAACAGGGCCAGGACGTGGGTGGGATGTGGGGCATGGGGGATGATAAAGCACGTGTAAGTTGTGCACTTGAGTGTGTGGAGAAACAAAGTGCCCTTGAGTGGAGAATAAGATGAAGATGAAGCTGGGGTGGAGGGAGGGAATAACACCACCAGCCAGGTGGTACCACTAGAAAAGGTGTCCTGGCCCACGAAAGTCGATAAAGCAACAGAAGACCACAAAAACAACAGCCATCTCCAGTTTCACATTCTGCAGAATAAACTTGTTAATCAGAGGCAAGTTTTGTACAATTTATAGAAGGTGAATCATTTTAACTAGGAGCTTATCCTTGAGCTGTCCTAATCTCAAGATTCTCAGTTCAAGTTTAATAGGCAGTTGATCTCTCTGTTAGGCCACTCTCTTCTCCTCCTTGCCTACCACCTGGGAACTCTTGTGGCCACTCTGCCTGTCAGCCTTTGTATTTGGCCAAGTTTCACTCTGTCACTCAGCTGCCTCCCTGACTCCAGCCTCATTGGGGTGGTGGTGCTCTTTTTCTTTATAGCTTAGTCACTTACTGTCTCAGGTTCCCAAGTTCCTGATTTTTGAAATTTACATCCAGAAAAACTGTGATTGCATTCTTTACATTTCAGAAAAACTGGATATGCTTCTGTATACATTTTAGGGACTGGAATGGGGCAAGAAAAGGAAGGAGGAAAACTAGTTGCTGTGGTTTGGATACTGTCCCCCAAATACCCACATGTTAAAGGCTTTGTTGGCAGCCTGTGACACAATTAGGAAATGCACAAAGAAAGAATAGGTTTCTTTGCTAGCTGATGGAGGAAGAATCTTTATTGGATGTGGAATGTTCCATGGTTGGGCAGAAGCATTTTTGGAACTAAGTGATCGTTAAGTAGCCATAATTAGTAATAATAGCCATTTTCCAAAAGCTTTCCATGTGCTAGGCACTGTTTTAAAGTCTTGGATTGTACCTCTTCATTTATCTCTTAGTTACCCAAAGACGTGGTACAGAAAGATGCTGTTGAAGCATCTTGCCCCATGTCCACTGTTGGTGCTGCAGCTGGGGGTTGACAGAGGCAGATGGACCTTGATGGCTGATATTCTTGAGCACAATGCTATGCTGCTTCTCTACAAAACTGGAGGTCTGTAAGTTTTGTTTTTCCTACCTTGGGTTTATTTGAAGAAATAGCACAGGACACCAGCTTTCTAAAGATGGCAGCCGGGGGTAGGGTGTCATACCAGTCCATCTGTCCTCAGATTGGCGGAGGCCTTTACTATGGAGACTGCACAGGAACCCGGGAACCTTTCGGAGCCTGAACTGGAGCCAGAGTGGGGGGTGGACCAGAAGCCTGGACCTTGGTTTGGGTTTGATCTTTGGCTGGCAGAGCCAGTGACCTTAGCAATGTGGGTGGGAATATGCTTCCCAAGTTTGGGGTGGGTAGTGTTGGCAAGTCGTTGGAGCCTGTGGCCGGCACCCTTTGGGATTTGGGGCCTAACCTCTTTGGCCTTCACATGGGCCTCGACAGCCTTGGCATTGTTTTCCTGAATCTTCTTCAGGCCCTTCTTTTTGTGCTTCTTGGCAAGGCAAGTGTTCTTTAGGAATGTGGGTTCTTCCCCCTGGAGACTCACACCTTTGTGACTGGGTTTCTTGATGCCATTTCTGTGCCATTTTCAGGTTGTGTTGGTATAATTCTTGTACTTGGCCATGTCTGCACTGTACTCTGTGGCTCCTGATGTGCTTGGCACCAGAAGGGGAAGAGAAAGATCACAATGAAGCATGGGAAACAGAATCGACATTGCCAGAAAGTACTATTGGTAAAGCTTCCCCTAGTACTGGAAAGAAAGGTTCCAGTTGAGGTCTGTAACTTGTTAATGTGTGCTCAATAAAGTAACCCTAGAACTTGGGCATGGGTGACATAGTAGGTGTTAAAATAGTAACATACACACACACACACACACACACATATTAGATGACATGGGTAGGCCGCAGAAGCTAACTGAGGATACAGTAGATCTCATGGCAGAGCTGTGTGAAAATGTAATGAGGAAAAGCAGGGTATAGTATCAAGTAAGGCATAACTGCATGTGAAAGAAATTGCTACAACCTGATAAGTGTAAAAATCCATCTGTGTCAAAAGCATCCCAACAGAATGCATCTGGCAGAAGTCCAAGAAAGGGAGCCCTCTAATAAAGAAAATGGTTGTCTTTTATCCCCCTACCCTGTCCAGGGAGAGGCACGGCAGAGATGGTTTTCTACCTAACTAGTTTTCTCCTCTTTTTGGGCACATAGCTAAACTATTTTCTCCCTTGCCATTTGAAGTGCATGTGCCTGAGTTCTAGCATATTGGTGGGGGGGAGGTGATGTGAGCCATTGATGGGCCTGACTGATATAGAACTTTGTACAAATGTGTCTCCATGCTTTGACATCACCTTGATGCAGAGGGGCAGGGAGAGCTTGGAAACCAAGAAATAATACAGCAAATTCATTTTGAGATGCTGCTGATTGCAAGACATAACCTAATTTTTGAATTGTCAAATACCAAAAGATAAAATGAACGTTAACTATATATGTAAATGTGGATATTTTGATCCTTGGAAAGGTCCACCTCCATTGTAAATGG